CGGCGAGCGATGTTTGTCGAGGCAAGTAGTGGGTGGAAGAAAGCCCAAGGTGGTCAAGCTAAGACCTGACACGAGGGTATGAAAACCCTAACCAGGAGACTGGGTCACATAGGTCCTGTTAGGCCCCCTGGCTGGGGACCTCGGGGTGATCGTAACCGATGGTTAGAGACACTGAGTGATATGTCTGGGTGTCGTGCATCTTGTCAATATCTTTGCAACCTTAGACCACTGAACTTCTCAATTTTCTCTTCGATTCTACTTTCAACCATCTTCTTTTCCTCCTATTTTTCACCCCAATGGGCAACCAAAACCGGCGCACGATAGTGCATGGTTAATGGTTGTACAAACGGAACTGAATTGAACTATATATGGCCGTACGTTCAGTACTGTCACCGATGAAACTCCATCTTCATCCTTATTGTAGTAGCGTATTCGAAACTCAATTTAATATGTGAAGTTTTCCTAACTTAATTCCGGACATATATGGGTTCACTTTAATGCAGGTTAACTTTTGAAGAATCGAGGTAGCCCCGGGAATCAGTGAAGTCTCGTCGTGCCCAGGGAATAAACTAGAATGAACATCCTGGGAACGGTTCACCTCGTTGACCACGTTCAACAAAATTCGTAAAAGGTCTACGAATGTGTTATATTGTTCACCCGTATTCACAGACACAAGAATACAATGTTCACAGACAATATAGCAGAGAATACAACAAAATGTCTCAAGGTGTTGGCTATAGACCATGTAAACCAGAGACAGGAGTTCCCACTATCGACTCAGGGCGGTGGTGGCCAAGTGGTTAGGTCACCAAATTGTGACCCGGGTTCGAACCGCTCCACTGTCGCCTGTCTTCCCTATTTCTGTACTTCCACAGGCAGTTTTTTATGGCCGCAACCCCCTCCTGAAAGTTAACCGTACATTTGTATATCCAATAAATAAATAGAAAGTAAGATACATCAATTAATTAATTTAGTTTGATGCTCACGATTGGCTTCCCGCCATGCATGAGAACATGCTATGTCTTGTTTGAGTCACAACCAGAATGAACCAGTTACCCAGCGCCCTTGGTGGAGCAGCATTTGTAAAAGGTCATCGGTGATGAAAGTTTCGTGTTTACTCCGCCAAAACTGTTATCGCCAATATGAATGGGTGGAGAATTAACGAACATTTAAGAAATATGAGATCACCAGAATATGATCAACACACAGCCCCGAATGATTTTGAATTCGTTTAGAATCAACAACAATATTTTAATTAAAAAGTTACGAGCCAAAGAACAGTTATTGTGAACTAGCACTGTTGTGTACCCAAAAAACTGGTTGATAGAAGGTGTTTGGTACACTGTTGCAAATAAAGAGCTGGGGACGGGTTACAAAAAATTGTAAATTAGAGATGCCAATTGTAAGGACCCAGGGATTCGCGATTTTCAGATACCTTCGCTCCTAATCATAAACCCTCTAGTGAATTCAAGAAATGACTATATACGGTCCTCGAACAGGAATGTGGGAACATGCGAAAGCAAGTGCCCAATCTCCATGTCGCACATTGAGCTTAGCAAGCATTATACACATTGGACCTATCGATTCTGGAGGCATCTAATAGGTTGCACTTTAGCAGAAACTAATCAGAATTTGTTTTTGCAGTATAGAGCAAGAGTTATTTTCTCTGTGGAATACCCGCTCGTGGGCTTACTAAAACACGGACAAAAGGGGCACATCTTGGACATAATCTTTTCTGGGCCATCGAATCAATTAATTTAATACAATGAATGAATTAATACGTGTTCAACTGAATATGCCACACGAAATTCTAAAAGGTAATTGAGTAACTCCGTTTCATTCCAAGAGGATCTGAGTAGAGTGGAAATAATGAAACCACTCTCATAGAACATTATCGACGGATGGTTTTAAGTATTCACCCAGAAGAGAAAAAACAGCGTGAAAGTTCCGCAGGCACATAAAGCCAACGTGTCATACTTCTTTGAAACCCTTTTTACCTCAAGCCCATGCGGGCATTACCTCAATAATTCAGGGTTCCGCAGGTTCCCACTGAACTTTTTAGATTGTTTCTACTCAGATTTACTGGGTTTTGCAGCCGTCCGTCCCTTAACTGCTTTCTAATACAAAGACAACTGTGGTAAGTTGTAAATCTCTCACGAATACAAAGAGTATTGTTTGCATTGACCCATTCAATGTCTGAGAGATAAAATATTTTTTATTTTATTTGGAGTGAGGGTTTCATTACCTAATGATTCGTTCATTCTTCACATGTAAATTGCATTGTGTTAAACAGGGAAAGGTTTACATG